CCCCCCCGCCATACCCCCAAAAGCCAGAAAAGCAGCAGTCAGCAACTTGTCATTTCTTTTTTGGAAATCTGTCAACTCTCTCTATGACGGACTCTTTCAATCAACCCAAAATGTTGTGTGCTTTTACTGGAACCCAAGCAGATGAAAGTGTCTCTAGGGGACACCGTTCCTCTCCCTTCGTGAAGTCACATGAAGCAATGTCTTTCATCCTCCTTCTGCAGGTGCTGATGAGGAGTACATTTATATGAACAAAGTGACTGTCAACAAGCAACCGAATGCTGAGTCTCAAGACAAGGGTATGGGGCTGGGACAGCTGAGGGGATGGCCAGCTCCCGGGAGGGGAGGGTACAAAGCTCGGGTCCGTCCCACCCTCCCTCCTCCCAGCCAGCACACAGACAGGCCAGTCGAGTTATTTTTGGAGGCCACATTTTGGTTGGTGGTATTTTGGGTTGATGTATTTTGGGATGTTTCAACATCCCCTCCCCCAGGCCCGTTGGATAAGGAATCTGGCCCTAAAATCTCTTGGCTGTTCCCAGCATCATCCCAGGAACGGGAAGTCATAATTCAGATGTCTAAGAAAGCGTCTGTGTGTGGTGCTGGTCCTGTGGTTCCAGCTGATGTCTTTTGTTAGAAATCTGTTTGGAGGTAAGGGAGAAGATGCTGGTGTCGGCAGCAACCTTCATATTTAAAGGTGATGTTCAAAGGAGCTCTCGTTGGCAGAACTTTGCCTCTTCCATTGGAAAGACATATGCTGTCCTCTGTGGTGCCTCTGCTGTCTCTCTGCTCACTGCTCAGTGTTCTGCTCATTGCTTTTCTCTGAAAACTTCCAGGAGTGGGTCTGGCAGGACCCCAGGGAAGCCCAGAGGTTTGCAGAGCTGCCCAGTTGCAGGAGGTGGGGGTGAGGGAAGAGGAAGCTCCATCTCCCAGCTCCCAAGCCTGTGACTCAAACACAAAGTCCTGGAGAGGGGTGGGGACACAGCACCCCAGCGCACTCAGTCCTGCTAGAGGCTTGCCTTGTAGACATCAGCCACCAAAGCCCGTGTCTGAGCCTTTCTGTCCCGGGGCTGGCTGCAATGGTCAGAAGAGCCTTTGGTGCCTTTCCCTGAAAGTGCACGGACGGTTGGTGGCCTAACTTCCTCACTATGGCTTCTCCACCTCCAGCCTGCCACCAAGACTGGGACTTGGCAGAACTCATCCAGATGACAGTGGCCACTCTGCCCAGGGTTGTTTGTCTTCCGGGTAAACTGTAGGAGGAAGGAGCCATAATGACAGGGTCGGTGCTGAGAGCGGCTCAATATAGTGACCGCCAGGCAGCGCCTCTGCTCGCGGCAGCTCTGTGGCCAGGCCATTTTTGACACGGGCAGGTCGGGGAAAGGGTGTGGAGCCTTCCAGAAACCCCAAGCTTGGAGGAAAACCAACTTCAACTCCAGGGACTGGCTGCCTGGGTAATTAACATGTGTGACCAGATGTTCCTGGGTACTGAGACCCTGCTGTGAGGCTGGACACTGCTTATGAAGCCTTCCCCTCTTGCTGCCCGCAGTGCCCGAGGAGCAGTGCCCGCTGACCAACGGGGAGCCTGGCCAGCACGCCTCAGCCCCTCAAAAGAGCCTTCCAGACCTCCCGCCACCCAAGATCGTAAGTGTCACTCCAGGACCCCTCGTTTCCCTGACTTGGGCCCCTTGCACGTCCATTGTCCTCACAGGTGTCAATGTACAGACATCTGGCATTTTCTGAGCACCTCCTGTGTACAGCGCACGGGGCAAGGCACTGGGAGAGACAAAGCAAAAGTGAGCCTGCCTGCAGGTGACCGCTCATGTGCTCAGGGCTGCAATACACCAGATGCGGAGGGGGATGGGCACGGGAGATTTGATCAAGTGCCACCAAGTGTCTGTTGCTACCCCAGGCTCTTTCCGCAGCACCATGTGAGTAGGACCATGTACAGCTGTGGTCACCAGCTGAGGCCACAGAGAACTTTTAATAATTTGTAAATCATATCACACTCCACTTCCTGCTTGAAACCCACTAATGGCTCTTAGTAAACTTAGAAGGAAACATCCCCAGTCCTCATCATGGCCCCAGGGCCTGTGCAGTCTGGCCCAGCTGTGTGTCCAGACTTGTCCCGCCTGTTCTTCCCTGGCCTCCGCCTGCTCCTGGTTGGTGCCACTGTGGTTGGTCCTGCCTCAGGGACTTTGCGCTTCCTTGGCGCCTGTCTCCTCAGTGCCTCCTCATCTCTCAGTTCTCTCGACTTGGCTAAGTGAGGCATTCCAGGCCTGACCCGGCGCTGTTGCTGTCTGCCCCAACCCCCAATCATGCCCCCATGGCACTTGCCACTGTTGGGACAGTCTTGTTCATTATTTGACTCCTGCACCAGATGTACTCTCCCTAGACAGGGACCAGGGCTCTCATTTACGACCTCATGGCCAGTGTCTGCACACTGTAGGCCATACACAATCATTCATTTGGATGGATGGATGGAATTGCAGAATCATATAGGGCTGGATTCAGATCCCAGCTCTGCCAAGGACTAGCTCTTTGACCGTGAGCAAGTCACTTAAGTTTTCTTATCCCTGGTTTCCTGGTGTTTAAATGGAAGGAATGTTAACATCTGTCTCCGCGGATGGTCTTATTCAATGGGCAAAGGATGTAAGACACTCAACATGGCAGATGGCATACCGTGCCAGTATTCAATGAGGTAAGGAGTAGTAGTAGTATTTTTGGGGTGAGGATGCCTAATGTGGCACAATCTCAAAGTGGCAGAGGCAGCATTTGAACCCGTGTTCTTTCCTCTGTAAGATGTGGTTGGGGCAGCTTCCCAGAGGACGGATAAGGCCACAGTTGGGAAGGGTTTGTATAGGTAGAAGGAGTCTTGGGGTCAGCGCCAGCAGGAAGCTGACTCCACCCACAGTCACTGAGTTCCAGCTAAGTGACCCATCACCTGATCTGTGGGCTCAAGTCACTGCTGAGTGAGTCCCAACCCCAGAATGGCTCTGGACCAGCCCCTTCATTCATGCCCTCCTAAGGGTTCCTCAAGCTTCTCTTTCCTGCACCCATAGCTGGGGACGTTGATTCTACCATGTGGGGTGAGTGGAACAGTTCTGGAGTGCCTGAGACAGTGTCCCATTGCATGAGGCCCCTCAAGCTGGGTGACAGCTGTGGGGACACTTTGTCTTAGGCTGGATGACACTTGATGGGCTGATCCTGAGTCCTTGGGTATCCCCTATGACGCTGATGAGGCTGGTGACTGCCACACCCTGAGATTCCACCTTACTCCATGCACACAAACATGACCCTCTCCACCACATGTTGAGATGGGTATTGTCACAGTGTTTCATATGAAGAAGCAGGATCAGAGTTGAGATCCCACAGCTGGGTGGTAGCCCAGCCAGAATTGGAATGCAGGTCTGCTGATGTTCAGGCCTCCTTGCCACCTCCC